ATAATTTATATATTTTGCATCACTTTATTTGAAAAAAACCAAAAATTTTAATATCTTTTTTATTTCACTTTTATATTTTCAGTTTAGTTTTACTAACAATTATTTTATTATTATTGTCATTGTTGTTTATTATTTATATTATGAAAATATAAATATGTCCATTAAATCTGTCCATATGCTGCTCAGTACAAAATTCTGTGTTACTGCTGCCCAACTAACGGTCATATCTCTACTGCCTCCACAACCAAAAAACTGTTGAACACCAGTCCAAAAACCTGTGCACATCAGTCCAGGAATTGCCTCAAATGGCACATACCAAAACTGTATCAGAAAAGCATTAAATCAGATTATTCCATTTGTTCAAACTCACCAAAGTTCCCTCCCAAAACCCCATTCTTATTCACTATAAAAATAGGCAGAAGCAATCGAAATAAAGGGGGAGCAAAAAGAGAAAAAAACACAAAAACTTGCAGTGTTGTTGTTCGTTTTTGATAGAGAGGGTGAGAAAAAAGAAAAGGCAGTTCACAAAGAAAAGAAAAAACAAAGAGTTCATAAAAAGTTCACAAAGGAAAGAAACCACAAACAATATCACCGTCTTCCTCATTCCACCATCATCTACATCAGTTTCCCTTCAAACCTCCATGGCTCACACGCTTTGTTCAACAACACAATAGCCACCATATCTTGTTTTTCACTCCCTGTTTAATTTCCGTTCCACACATCATCAATAAGCACAAACAGATTTTCAGAAGAGCAGGAGGAATTAAAAAGCATATTACCTCATCTCTGGATTTCTCTATTATTTCATTGTCAAAAATCGAAACCATCAGACTTGCTCTTATTTTGTAAGTCTCCCTGCTTTTTTTCTCAAAAAATTTGTTGCCATGCTTGTCATAATGATGTATGCTGTGAACTAGATGTTATTGCTGCATTTTTTGTTGTTGATGTTTCAATAAATCAGAACCCCTGAGATTGTTATTGTTGTTTCTCTTGCCATGAATGTTTGTCACCTTGTTGATTTGATGTTTAACTGCATGAAAAAACTAGAAACAATGGTGTTGTTCGTTTTGATTTAGAAAGAGTTCGAAACAAGTAGCAGTATTGTTGTTCGTTTTTGATTTGGGAAGGAATTCGAAGCCAGAAGCAGTGTTGTTGTTCGTTTTTGATTTAGAGAGTGAGAAGAGTTTGAATTGATGGAGCAGGATTCATTGTTGGTATTGTTCGATTTCTTTTTAAGCAGAGTTCGAAAGAGGGAGTTTGAAGAGAGAAAAGAGAGAGTTCGAAAGAGGGAGTTCGAAGAAAGAAAAGAGAGAGTTCGAAAGAGGGAGTTCGAAGAGAGAGAAAAGAGAGTTCAAAAGGAGCATTGTTCGATTTCGATTTCAGTCCCATGCTGGACCTTTATTTCGTTTTCAGTTTATAACCCAATTAATTAGTTTAGTTTTATAATTTATTTAAATCTTGATATTTCATTTGTAGTTTGGTCAACATTTTAGTTAATTTTGTTAGTTTTTTAACTAGTCTTTTATTGATAAATTCGTAAGTTATCTCTTTGAATTTATTGCCCCTTATGATGTTCCTCCCATGATACATGTTGGTTGAGTTTGTGATAATTTCGATTTAATTCCATGGCTTCTCTTTTGGTTTTCTTTTAAAATCTTGGAGTGTTTATACTTTTAGTTTTAATCTTCATGTTGCTTGCAAGATCCAAGGGAATTGTTTAATTTTTGTCGACTTCATGTCGTCAAAAAAACATCGTGCGAATACCCTCATTCATCCCTTTTATTATTTCATTAAAAAAACTTAAGATAATTTTCCTAAATATTCAATTTTTCAAAACTCACACCCTTTAAGTCAAAACTTCGACATTAGGTCGTCGTATCTTCAAAAACTCGTCCATACCCATTTTTGGCCAAAACAATTTATTTTTAATCAAACAAACATTTTAATAAACAGATATTTCAAAAGGTTCCTATAGAATACTATAGATACATTGGATGCTAATACCTTCCCATTGTATAACCAACCCCCGAACCTTAGACCTCTTTTCAAAACGCCTTGTATTTTCATTACTTTTAAAGTATTATTTTACATTGCATACTTTAGGGTTTTATTTCGCTCTTTTCCCTTTTCCCTTGGAAATAATAAAGCGCGGTGGCGACTCTTGCTTTTGTGAGACGAATTAATTAATAGTTCGATCTCCGATTTACCCCGCTACATTTTTTATCGCTACACCATCCTTAACATAATGGTTGGGGTATTTATAGAAGTTCATGGGCCTAGATCTTTGACTCCCAAGAAGTAGCAACGACTTCTAGGAGCCAGGGAGTGAAACAATCAACCCATATTATTCATGAAAATGTCACATCCGTGTTTCCACGGGCGGGCGTTCAAACTGAAAGATGGGTGTTAAATCCAAATGATGGGGCTCCGAATCTGGTAAATGAGCGACCAAGAAGGTGTTGTGGATGAGGTGTTACTTCATTTCCCTTCCATACCACCTCTTATAAGCCCTTCACAAATATACCAATACAATAAAATATTGTTTTAGTAGTATTATTGGTGGTGACTAAATAGTTATGACAAAATAGTGGTTTGTAATCATATAATTTTTTATTTTTTATTTAAAATAAAAATAAATCACTAATATCCATCAATGAGTCAACTGATTCAAAAACTCAAATCTAATAGCCAACCAAAACTATGCGGATTATTATTGGTTGATCTAGTATACCCGTAAACGAACGAGTTTTAATAACTAATGAGTTTATTTGAATTGAGTTGACGAGTTCACGGATCTAGACATACCTATGTAGACCCTTATTCATGAGCGTAATAAAATAGAAATAAAAATACGATTAAGTTGAATAAATTAAAAAAAAATGCTTATCAAACAAAATTATAAGTGATTTTTCTTATAGAAATATCAAACATAAATATAAAAAACACTTATTAAAAATAAGAGTAAATTGCACTCCTCTCCCTTGAGAGATACTTATATTACGCCCTCATCATCTCTTGTGTTAAAAAATACACTCTCATTCCCTCTTATGTAAAATATATTACATTTTCCACCATGATAGATACTCATATTACACCACCCTCATCTCTTTTGTTAAAATACACATTCACATTCCCTCTTATGCAAAATATAGTACACTTACCTCCCTTGAGAGATTCTCATATTAAACTATCTTTCTCTCTTATCTTTTTTCTTTTTTTGGTCTACTAGCCTAGTGGGAATAATTCCAAGCCTTAAAGAGGAATAAATAAGATGTTATCGTTTCAAACCCGCTCACGTGCCACCGAACGCTACTTAAAAGTGAATGAATTATACAATTACATCCCTTTTGACAAAACATATTAGAAAAAAGGGCACTTTCCTCCCCTAAAAGATGAATAAATTACATTCTCCATTTTTCTTAGTGACTCGTCTTTCCATTGTCTGCAAAGCTCGCCCAAGATATTAAATATTCTATGGGCCCTAATTCTAATACTTTCGATGCAGGGGCCCTTGTTGAAGTCTTGTACTTAACATGTACTTCCTCCCTCTCATCGTTCGCGTCTTGAACCTCTTGATGTAGAATTGTATCAGCTTATCTTTCCATTGTCTGATAGATCTCAGGCTTTTCGTTTACTTAGATTTCCTTCTCAAAGATCTCAGGCTTTCCCCCCATGAATTTATTATTTTTCATACACCTGTCAGTGTTGAGAAGGAAACCCATGTTAGTGGAAAGTCCGAGATCCATCAGACAAAGAAAATGAGAGTCGTTATGATCCTACATCTAGAGGTTCAATGGAGAAATGATACAAGTCATGAGCGTCGACGAGAAGATGAAGAAGTACCTGATAAGTCTAAGACTCGAACAAGAGTCAAAATTTTCCAAAAGTATTGGAATCATGGCTCGTAAAACCTTTAAAAGCCTATTAGTAATGGCCATGTTGGTGGAAGGCAATTTATGATGGAGGGTTTTAGAAGGAAGAAACAAGCAGAAGGGGGAACGAAGAAATCAAACAAGGAAACAAAAAAGGAAGTGAAGCTAAAAAATATTCACGAACCAACCGAGAGGCCAAGGGAGCCATGTCTCCCGATATAGAGATTGCACGATATTGAACACTTCAAGAGAGTGTGTCTTGCAAGAATACATCAACACAAAGTTTATAGAAGAACAATTTAAAACACCAAAACCACACTGAGAACATGCGGGGGTGGACAAATCTCTATATTGTCATTTCCAAGTGTGTAACATCTATAATATAGAAGAGTGCATAGAACTAGAGGATGCATAAGATAGTATAAGATGAATATCTTTTAAGAGAGAAAAATACAACATACTTTACATAAAAAAAAAGAGAGAAGTGTGTATTTTAATACGAGAGAGAGATGAGAATAGTATAGTATAAATATTTATCAAAGAAGAAAAATATAATACATTTTGCATAAGAGAGATGATTGTAAAATTTAATAAAGATAATGTAATATGAATTCTCTTGGGAGAGATTTAAGTAACAATAAGAAACAGTCTTTTAAATTTGAAGTACATAATAAGAATTGAATCAAGTATACATGCGTAGTAGTGTACTTGATGTTTAGTTTTTACCATAAAAAGTGAAAAAGAAAAGCAAAAGCAGTGAGAAAAGGAGCAACTTGTGTAATGTTGGTGGTCCTGTCAACCGGTAACCATCATCTATCATAGAATCGAATGTCTTTTCATCCAACGGTTCACATTCATTTCACGTTTCTAAACACCAACACGAGCCTTTTTATTATTATTATTTCCAACCTACTAATATTCAACTTGCTTTTTACTACTATTTTTCTCTTTATATATTTCCATTTTCTTCTCTCTCTTTCTCTTTTTCTTATATCCTTCTTCTACTCTCTCAAACCCTTCACTTTTCTCTCTGCAACTTACTAGCATAAATTTTTTTGTATCTGATTTTTTCACTACATGGAGAGAGAATTTCTTGGCTTTAGTTCCAAAAATAATCCATGGATTACAATGAAAGAAGATGCTTCCAATAAACCAAAAGACCAAGGTAACAATTTTTCATTTATTTATTTACTTTCTATATATTACTATTTTTTTTAATTAATAATATTCAGTAGCTATTATGAATGGTATTACCTTATCTTTGTCTTGTTTTAGGAAGGTTAGTTAATTTGAAATTTTTGTAAACGGGTTTGATTATTCCTTGTATTTGCTTTAATGTTTGAATCTGATTATTAAAAAAAAAATACTCTTTTTTTTTGTTTCATAATTCTATTTTGGTTCAATACCTCTTATGTGATGTGAAATATGATAACTTTGCATTAGCCTTACATTCAAAAATAATAAATCTGTTTTTTTTATTAAAAGTATTATATTTGGAATTTAACTTTTGTGTATATTTTGGATCATTTTTCTATTAATTTTTCTCCCTTAAATGGATAAGATAATGTTTAAGGTTGGTCAGGTTTCCTAGGTTGAACTTTGTTAAAATTATCTAGTACAAAGACATTTTAGCTGCAATTTGCACCCTCCCATGCAGTATATAGTGTCGGTTTGTTAATAGTTTTTTTTTTTTAAATTAAATGAAAAGTGTTTTAAGTAATTTTTTTATTAAAAAATAATTTTAAGACTTTTATCTTTTTTATATAATTTTTTAGATGATAAAATTTATAAAAAAAAAGATTTAAATGAAAATTTATTTCTGATACACAGTATTTTTTAAGATATATTATGTTTTATAAAATTACATGATTTTTATCATATTAAAATATCTAACAATAATTATCCAAATTATTGAATATAAAAATATGTTTATAGTTTATAAAATAGTTTTGAAATGATTTCTATTATTTTTTAATAAACTTTGATAAATATAATTTAAAAATTATAGAATAATTTTTTAAAAATAGCTGTATAAAAAATAGATTTTTGAATTATGTGAATGAGATATCTCAATTAGTATGAGTTAGTTGAGTTAAATGAATATAAATTTTTTATCTAAAGTTAAATATCTTATGTTAATATTTATTTATATTTATATATTAATGTAAAAAGTTGTTGATAATTATAATTTTAATTGCATACAAAATATTATTTTTGAAATTAAATATTATGTGATATATAATTTTAATTTAATTTTTTGTTTTATCAAATAAATAAATGTATTTTTATGTTGTGTAAGGTAAGGTATCTATCTTACAGCTACTCATGTATGCAAGAAAATTTTTATTTAGCACATGTGGTTGGGTCCATTTGATATTAATGGTTGAAAGTTGATGTTTGATATGTATGTGTGGTGGTAGGGAATAGCAACTTGTTGTAAGAAACCACAATCATTAAGCTAGTTGATATATAGGCCATGAGGATAATAAGTTTGAATTTAGTTACACCATCCATTCTATCAAAACAAAAAGTGTTGTGTGATATAGGGTCAAAAAAGAAAAAGATGTAGGTCACTAGTTGTATTTTTATTTCAAATTTTGAATAAATGGTTTTGATGTTAAATTTTTATTTTTTAATAATTATTTTGAATAAGGTTTATGACTTTAGTTTTTTTGGAACTTTTTCACATATTTTTAGCTTATACATAAAAAATTATAACTTATAATGAAACTTTATTTATTTTAAAATGATATTAAAATAAGTGATTTTAATTATTTTTCTAAAAAATTTATTAATTTATATCAATAACTTCTTTATATTAATAATTCATGAATATAAATAAATATTATTGACATAAATTAAGCCATAAACCACTAGTTTTACAATTATTAAATAAGTAAATTTAAATATATTATCATGTAAAATCATGATTAATAATTCATAGAAGTTCAAAATGATTAAGATTTTTTTAAAAGAAAATTCGACGAGGACACATATATAGTTATGTTTAATTTAAAAATTTTAAATTATTATTAATGTATGGGGCACCTCTCTTGTTTTTTTATAAATAATAAATTATAAATAGTACATATATTTTATTTTAGATGGTTGGTTACACAACTTATGTTAGAAAACGTGCTTTTGGTTGTCTAGTGCTCTTTATTCTTTATTTTATTGCAAAATGCAGTCCTTCTTTTTCTTGATTTTGATGCAGTATTAAAATATTGATGTAAAATATATAAATGTTGGTATCATATGTTTTTTTAAATATAAATGTCTTGGATCATAACGTGTGAATGATTGTATTAAAAGGATATAAAATATGTACATTCATAAATGTATAAACAAATCACTATAGTATTAAATCAATCTCACAAAAAAAAGTCTAACATGGGAATTGATGATGCATGCAAGCTTTGAGAATTAAATAATTGTTTCTTATGGTAGTGACTAGCTGGCTTCAAAGATGTTTACATAAAATAAAGTTTTACAGAAGAATACATTTTAATAAAAACAAAGTCATATATATCATAAAATATTGCAAGCTAAAAAAATAGTGCTATTTAGTACATTATATAATTATATTATATGTGGACTATATGATTAAACAATAACATGCCTCATAAGAAATTACAATTTCTTTTTGTTACTTTTAGTTATTGAATTTTAAATTTCTATGTTGTATACATGGCCAGATACTACCTAGATAACAATAAACTAAAATAACAAAGTAACAAGGTCACATGTAATATAATTATACAAAATAAAATAAAATAAAATAAAATAAAAACCTAGGATTCTTGTGATGAAAGTTCTGCCAGAGCATCTTCTAAATAATTTTAAGGTAATATTTTTTAAAAAATAATTTCATTGGTTGTGTGACATATAAGTAAGTGCCTATATGTATTGGTTGTGATTTGCAATGAGAAGAACAAAATTTAATTTTCTTAGTTTTTTTTATAGATCATTATCAATATCTTCATCATTGTGTTTTTTCTTAGTTTTGGAAAGGAATAATCAATCTATTGTATGCAGTTAGGAGTTCAGGAATGCAGTGGTCATTCTCAAATAAGGTTTCAAACCTTCCTCAATTCTTGTCCTTCAAGAACACTCATGATGATAGGTCAAGAAACATTGTTATGGATCCAATAGCTTCTTTTGAATCTAACAATAAATCATTCTTGAGTGTCACACAGGTTTGTTTCTGATAACGAGGATTCGAAATTCCATTCGAGTAATTTAATGTTTCTGTATAATTATCGACTGAGTTGATTTATAAGGAATTATAAAAAGATTCTTTATATTTATGCACTTTGTACTATAACTGATATTTTTTTTATTTATGGTATTTTATTTTCTAGGAAAATGTTACCATAGGAAATAAGCATGGAGTTTATCCTATGCAATGTTCTGATTCACAAACAATTTGCAATCAAGAATCAAGAATATTTTCAGTACCAAACCAATCTAATAATCAAATGTCTTCTGTTCTTCCAACAAATCTTGCTACTACTGGAATTAACATGGTTAATTCGGTTACAAGATCGCAATCTTTCGGTTCTAAATCCTCTGCTACACCTCTATCTGTTCTTCCATCAATAGGTTCCATTGTTGGCTCTACTGACTTAAGGTATATTATAAATTTAAACATTTCAAAAAATTTAACTTTTTAATTTACAGAAAATATTTTTTATGGAACATTAAGAAATTTTTTGTTTATTTTTTTTATAGGAATAGAAATTGTTCCAAATCCAATGGTACTATACCTGCTCAATTGACCATTTTTTATGGTGGTTCAGTATGTGTTTATGATGACATATCTCCTGAGAAGGTAAATTTTTTTACCCTAATTTTTTTTTTAATTCTGTTAAAGTTTCAAATTAGTCCCCTTGTGAAATAATGACTATAGTGTAATAAAATTTAAATAAATTGCTATGATTTTGTGTTACATTTTTTTTGACACATTTTTGTGATACATTCTTTATCATCGTAAAATATTGTCAAATAAGAGCTATTACGACGCTATAACATTGTAGCATAAAGAAATTCGAACAAATATTTTTATTTATATTTTTACTTTTTGTGATTAGGCTAAGGCTATCATGTTACTAGCTGGAAATGGCACTAAAAAGCAGCCAGAAATGTCTATTCCTTCTAAAAATGATGGTTTCATTATAAGTCAATCCTATCCATCACCATTGCCAAGTCCTCTTCCAATGGCTTCTCATGCAAACTCTCAAACAAGGGGAGGATCAAACAGCAACAATGAAATCACAATTCTAAGATCTTTAGGACCTTCAAATGTCCCAAATAATCATTTAGAATCTTCTATTGTTTCTACTTCTAAAGGACCTGCACCTAAAGAAATGATTCAATCAGGTACATTTTTACCTATTAGGTCTATTTATATCTTGTTAGCAACACATTCTTTTAACACTTTATTTTTCAATATTTATTATATTAATGTTTGAAATTTTATGTTGATCGGATCTATTAATAGAGATCCGAACAAACAATAATTTTTTAAAGAGTGTTTTGAAATTGTTGTTTTGTTTCTAGTATGCTTGCCTCAAGCGCGAAAAGCATCATTGACTCGGTTTTTGGAGAAGCGAAAGGAAAGGTAATGCTCTAATTAAATTTAAATATGATTATGAAAATTTTGTTTCGTTTTTGTAGTGGAAACTCGTCTTTGTGAAAATAAATTTAGTATAAATTACCCGATAAAATAATTATGTTAATTTGGAATTTTTTCGATTTTAGAGAACATTTTAAAATTTTAAAATTACGTTATTTTGGAAATTTTCAATAATTTTTGTGATTTTGATCTTTTTAAGCTAATGTATTTTCTTTGTGCATACTTAGGGCAATGAGCACATCACCATACTATATGAACAAGAAATCACATGAAAGCAGCACTCCTGGATCAGATAGCACAAGTTTCTCCATTGATTTTTCTGGTTCAAGTTCTCAACCAGCTACAATCTTAAGAACATCATGTATGGAAGTTTAGATGATAATATAATATATGTGCTTTTTTAATTGTAAGATCAATTCTTTAGTGTGATCATTGGCAGAGAATTTTCATAGCCATTTTGGTCTTCTCACTTATATGTCTTTTGTTTCCCAAGCTTTCCATTATTATCACTTTTCTTTAGAATTTTTCTTCATTATATCATATGTTTTCATATGATTTTTTGTTTTTGAATTTTTGTCATCTAAGTTGTATATTATTTCCTTTATAATTACAACAATGAACAATCTTTAGATTCATTATGATTGTAGTTTTCAAATTATTTTTATTTTTCTTATAAAATGTTTAATCGAGTGAAGGGGAGATTTGAGGATCCATACAGAAAAAAACTTTAAAAATAATTATAAAAATATTAAGATAATAGTATAGTTTATTGTCCGTTTACTTGCTATTTCTATATAATTTTAATTTTAATTAAATAATAAATAATATATTTTGAAATTAAAAAAAAATAATATTAATTATTAAGTCCGTAAAATAATAAACTATTAAATAAATTTGAAATGTATATAAATATTGTCGTTACAGATTTTTCTGCTTCAAACATAAATCTCTTAGGATTCAACAAATATTTTTTAGTATGAATTTGAGAAAACAAAACAGCAACAAATTTATCTTAAATAAGATCGAAAGTAAAAAAGAAATAAAAAATAAAAAGAATGGAAGAAAAAAATATAATTTTTCATATTATAATTTTTAGCCTCTACTTCTCTTCAAAGTAGGAGTAACTATATAAGAGAGACAGAGAGAATAATAGATTGAACTAAGTAAGTCAAAATAAAAATAAAGTTAATATTTGATCAAGTCAAGTTGTGTTATGAATTATAAATAAAATAACTATTGATAATAATTTTGTTGTCAACTATATTTTTCATATTTCACACTTAAATTTATGAGACAAATTTTTATTTAAACTTTTAGAATATAATTAAAATTTACAACAATTTTTCACATATTTCAAAAGTTCAAAAAATTAAAAGTAAAAGAATTTCTTATATTAGTATCATGGTTTGATACATCAAATTGGTGTAGTAAATTATATAAATCATTTCTAGAATGATAGTAATTAATACACGATAAAAGTGGTGTAGTAAATTATATGAAATAAAATCACTTAGTGTAGATTAAAGGTCTACTAACCAACGCACACTCCAACACTTTTTATTTTTACGCTATGGTGTGTTAATTGTGAATGCTTTAAAGATTTTGTTAAGATCTCATACACGCGGTCTCATAGACACACTCACAAAATGTTTTTAAAATTTTTTTATCTCTTTTCAACTTCTTCTAAAAAAAACCTTTGGAACACTACTACGAAAAAGAGCTACCATATCGGTTGCAAAAGGGATATCATAACGGATTACCAACCGTTGTAAGGTAAGGGATGGTTGTATGTATGACGCTTTTCACCACGGGTGTGCGGCATTAATGATATGTCAAGTAACGCGCTATCTACCATAATGGTTTTTCCAAATAACCGTTGTGATATAATTTAAAGAAAAACATTTAACAACGACTTTTCTACACAGTCGTTGTGGTATATACACGAAGTTTATTATAAATTATGTAGAATATTCATTTCACAATTGCCCACTAAAGATATAACCTTTCATTTTGATTTAAAATATTATAATATGATAATTAAAGTTATATTAGAAGAACAAATTACACGTTCAATACTAGACAAGAATTCCTCAGCTCCTTATCCGTATTTTGTTCTCTAATAGTGAGAACTTGGTTTTGATGCTCTTAGTTCTTCAACCCTCATTTTTTCACCTCTAGTTTATTTTCCAACATCTTATTTACATTGCCAACTAAATTAGATGTGAAGGAAGCAGAGGTTGAAAAATAAAAAGCATTAAACAAAGTTCTCACTCTTCAAGAACAAAATGCAGATAATAGACTAGAGAATTCTTGTCTAGAATTGAACATTTAACTTGTTTTCAAATATAACTTTATCTACCGTATTATAATTTTGTAATGCAATCCAAAAAGTCATATATTCAGTAAGGTGTTGAAAAAACAAGCAAACCACATAAGATATAATAAACTCATATAAAACAAATATTAACAACAATATTCATCGACAAAAAACCCTTAAATAACACAGAACATACATGTCCCATAATGTAATCCAAAATGAAAGGAGGGTGAAGTTGAAGTCAGAACAACAAATATGTGTTTGCAGCGCTCACATAAGTTTGTTGTGCTCACTTTAGCTTCATTCTCGTTAATTTTTTTCATCCATCCAATCATATCTACAAGTGAGAACAAGCATAAACATATATAGAAAAATAAACAAGTCAGAACATTAAATCTTAGGGTTTGAAACAAAAACAATAGCTACAATTTAAATATTATATGTTAGGATTTGAATCATAAACAATAAACAGAAACATAAAGTACACAATAATATAAAAACAGAAATATAAACAAAATCATAGCATAAGTTGAATGAACGAACTTAAAGGTAGTCATTGGTTGTAATGTAATGTATTATAAGGTGTACCTCAGTTACTAATCGATTATGAGTACCTAATAGTCGATTATGGTTCAGATCTAGTAAAGATTTCCTTTTTTGCTTATGCAAAATTGATTAATTTCATAGTATAAACGATTATGAACCGGATTAAACTTTTTCAAAATTTTCAAATTTGTCTTGATTTTTTTACTTTAAAAGGATGTCTTGTGTTCATTTGAATACACACGAGTTTTCTAAAAAATTCATTTTGTTCTACTATCACCTTCCTCCTAAAATTGTTGTATACACTTAATATAGTTTTAGTGCTTATAGAGTAATATAAAATTGTGTAATCCGCTATTGTAATCTCTCATTTGTAATTGTAAAATAAAGAGATAATTGCTCTCTTGAACTGATACAATATAAAGGTTGCAAGTTGCATTTAAGATGAAAACTTGGTGTAAATATTGTGGATTGAACCTGCAATCGTAGTTCAAGTTGATAGTGGAAATCTCAACGTGTTATCCTTGAGAACTGGACGTAGGCCTCGTAGTTTTGATCCAAACTAGGATAAACTCGGTGTATTCCTTATTCAATATCACTTTATTTTATTTTTTGTATTATTTTTATTTTTCATCTTATTCTTCATCTAAATTCTTCTTAAAAACATTTAATAAATATTTTTATTTAATCAAGTTTTGAAAACTTTTTTATATTATAATTCACTCCCTACTTTTTCTTGTTTTTAACGTCACTAAGTCAACAAGTAGCACCTTGTAACACCGAGATAAGAGTACTCACCAAGTCACTCTCCCAGACAAAAAATATCACCCATTCATCTAAGATCATAGACCCAAGACCATGCCTCCCAAAAACCCATAGTTTCTAGTATTTCTCCCTCTGCATTAAGATCTAGAAAAACCTTGAAAAATGGACGAATGTGCAGAGTACATAACCTAGCCAAGAATGATCCTAAAAGAAGATATGGACACTGTAATACGGTGGGAGAACTGACTTGGGATGTTTTGCGTTTGATCGCAATTGTTGCAGTTAGCAAGAGTCGCCACTGACTTTTCTTTTATCCAAAAGGAAAGGCTGAAAAGAACAGGAAAGACCTTTGAGATTATTTCTTGAGTTCGGGGGGTAGATTATGAAAAGGGAAGGTATTAACACACTTTTCATCCATAGTTATCTATGGGCTCTTATTTGCTTGTTAGATCATTTGCTTTTGTTTGAAAAATGTGCTTTGTGATGGTCTTTGAAAGTATTTTTGAAAAGGCGCCTTCGTTTAGGAAAACTTTGCAATGATTCTCGTTTTGGCGAAAATGTATACAGAGTGTTAGACTTTTGAAAATATTTCATGTTTTGAAAGTTTTTGGTGTTTGTTTTTGAAAGTGAGAAAGCAATTAAGAACGTTTCTATCTACTCAAAAGTCTCTTGTTCATTTCTTCTTTTCTTTGATATTGCTATCTTACCATTGATTGGTAAGAAGCCTTATCTTTGGATGTGAAGGGACGGGCGTGGATCATCATGTAGTCATGATAGCAATGTTGTGAGATGTCTTAGCATTTCCTTGAGGGACTAAGATCATTTTGAAAGGCAATATTTGAAGCGTTGTCGAGGGACTATGATCTTATATTTTTTGACTGTGTTTGCTAAGACATCTCACATGCGTAACATGACCATCTTTAGGAAACAAGTGGAATTAACCTTATGGGTGCATGTGTGAGTAGTGTGTTTGATTTGCTTGCATTTAATCTTTGATTAGGGTGATCTACTTTTTGATTTTATCTTTCCATACAAACCCTAATTACTAGTATTTATATGAAAGCGATAAATTGCGGAAAATAAATTTACTACACTATTACATCATTTGGGGATGGGGTATACAAATTTACAAATGGAGATTGCAAGAAATTAAACCTAATTGTCTATTACAACCATATTGAATAATGTACAAGAAATGAATAAATATAATGTGCAAGGATGTAAAAAAATAAAGGATTTTTGTTTGGTTTTTGTTAAGAAAAGAAATAAGTTTGCTTAAGAAAATATTTTTGATCTTTTGGTTTTAAAAGAGATAAAATAAATTATGTGAATGTAGAAATATTTTTAGTGTTTTAGATTATTATAGATAAAATAAAATAATAAGAGGAAAAGGGGTCAGAATCAGCACGTTGCTGAAATGAGAGGTAATAGAAGTTCTGATTCTGATACGCTACAAAAAAAAGAAATGTTAGTAGGAAAAGGGAATGTCAGAATTTCTGGATCCGGGTACATTAAAGTTCTGGGGTTGCTAGGAACAAGGGAAATCCTAGAAGTTCTGATGCAACTGACTGCCTAGAAGTTCTAGTGCTACTGGAAGGCCAGAAGTTCTGGTTGGTGAGAGAGTGTGGAAGTTATGATGTAGCTGGAGAGAGTTTGGAAGTTCTGATGTATTTGGAAATCTAGAAGCTCTATGGTTACTAGCAAACTAGAAGTTTTGATAATGAGTATGTGAGGTGTCAATGTTATTGGG